GGAGGAGATGCACATTCAATAACTATGGCACTCTTCCAGACACTGTCAAGCTATACTTGGGAGGCCAAGGTGGCAATAGCCTTTGCGGCTTTTGCTGTGAGTTATGGTGAGTTCTGGCTGGTTGCTCAGCTTTACACCACAAATCCACTAGCCAAGTCAGTTGCAGTTCTTAAGGAACTTCCAGAAATAATGGAGCATGCTGAAGCGTTGAAGCAAAAGTTTGAGGCAGTTAATAACCTCATTAACGCAATGCTGAATGTGACTCATTGCATTGTTAAGTTCAAGGAGCTCCCTACACAGTATATTAACCCTGAATCACCTGAAATGATATCTGCTGCTGCCCATATCCCCACAGCTGTTTACTGGACCGTTCGTAGCATTGTTGCTTGTTCGTTTATACTGCTGAACCTTATAGCCCTTGGACACGAGTATGTTTCCAATTTTCACTTCTTGTCAAGCCGTATTCTTGGTTTCTCTGACTACTTGGTTTAATGATAGAAAATGTCCTACACTCGTAGTAGCTAAACATGCTAGCGTGTGCAACAAGAAGATACCATCTGCACTATTTCTTACAATGTTTTTAGCAGTACTCCACCAGAAGGTTACGCTTGCCTAGCTATTTGCAATTTTAATCACTGTAATGAGGGTATGACTAAGCACTTAGACCGACAGTTGCAAACTTATTATTGTGATTGCTGCATTATAATTTTTATATTTTTAACAGGTATGTCGCCTCAGCTGCAGAGGCGTGGGAATTGAATAGTTGGTTTACAACTTATTATTGTGATTGCTGAATTATAATTTTTGTCTTTTTAACAGGTTTGTCGCCTCAGCTGCAGAGGCGTGGGAATTGAATAGCTTGGCTCATAAGCTTGCCAGCATAAAAGAGCACCTGGAAAGGCAAATGGATGTTATAAACCGGAGAATAGGTAATTACCTGCATATTGAACTTGTTCAGAACAGTTATGTAATATACTTACTACTTCAGAAAATAGGTAAATCAGAATTACGCATCCTACTTCACCATTTAATGACACAAGTCTTCCCATGTTGCAGAGGAGAGGAGAGAAAACGACGCATATCTAGCACTTGTTCGACTCTTTGAGACAACCCACGTCGACAACATGAAGATTCTTAGGGCTTTGATATATGCCAAGGAGGACCAGCTGCCCCTCTTTGATGGAACTCACAAGAGAAGAGTTTGTTCTCAGATTTCACCACAACCTAGCTTGCCTCCTTTTGCATATTGACTATCATGTACGTGACGTCTTTTTATCTTTTGAATGATGGCAGGCTAGCCTGGATGTATTGAGGAGGAAACATGTATTGCTACTCATTTCAGACCTTGACATGTCCCATGAAGAGCTCTCAGTCCTCCATCAGATGTATACTGAATCAAGGCAACAGCCAACTAGGCCAGAGAGTCAGTACGAGGTTGTTTGGCTTCCAGTTATTGACAGATTATTACCGTGGCATGATGCAACTGATAAGCAGTTTCAGTTTGTCCAAAACTCAATGCCATGGTACTCAGTGGCTCACCCAATGATGCTTGACCCTGCTGTCATCAGATTCATCAAGGAGAACTGGGGCTTTAACAAGAAACCTCAGCTTGTTGTCCTGGATCCACAGGGAAAAGACTCAAATCGCAATGCTTTGCACATGATGTGGATTTGGGGTAGTTTAGCTTTCCCTTTCACTAAAGCAAAAGAAGAAGCACTATGGAGGGAAGAAACCTGGAGGATTGAATTGTTGGCTGACTCCATTGATCCAAACCTTTTCCATTGGGTATCGACGTCTTATCTCATCTCAGGAATCAATTGCTTGCTAATTTGGGTCAAGAAATAGTAAAAAAAGCCAAACTTGAAATTATGCGGAGTGGTTTTATAGTGCATCTTGATACCAAGTATATAAGCTAGTACTGAACATGTTTCATGTTTCACAGGTAAATGAAAACAGATACATATGCTTGTATGGTGGAGAGGACATCGAATGGATCAGGAAATTCACAAACACTGTGCGGGGTGCTGCAAATGCTGCAGGTATCCGACTGGAGATGCTCTATGTAGGGAAAAGCAACCCCAAGGAAAGGGTGAGGAGAAACAATTCCATCATCCAGGCTGAGAACCTAAGCCACATTTTGACTGACCTGACTCTGATCTGGTTTTTCTGGGTGAGGCTGGAGAGCATGTGGCACTCCAAGAATCAACATGGCATGACAGTGGAGAATGATCCGATAATGCAAGAGATTGTGACCATGCTTAGCTTTGACGGAAGTGACCAGGGATGGGCTGTATTCTGCAGAGGTTCGCATGAGATGGCTAAAGGAAAAGCCGAAACAATTTATGAATGCATGAGCCAGTTTGATCGGTGGAAGGACAAAGTTGTTTACCCCGATGGCTTTGTGATTGCGATGAATGACCATCTTCGTGAGCTCCACACCCCCCATCATTGCAACCGCCTGATATTGCCCGGACCTACTGGGCATATTCCTGAGAGGGTGGTTTGTGCTGAATGCGGCCGTCCCATGGAGAGGTTCATCATGTACCGTTGCTGCATCGATTAAATTCAGCATTTGAGCTGAACCCAGGTCACGTTAGCTTTGGAGAACCAACATTGAATAATAATTACAATAACAAGCAAGCAGCTCTGCTTCTCCAAGGTCCAAACTAAACTACTACTACCACCATATATTCAAAGAGTTTGCTATTATTCCGCGTAAGAATAAAGCTGCTGTACTTTTTGCTTCCATGGCTTTTCTGCCTCCTACGATGGCACTAATAGTGCTGCGTGCTGTAAAATATTCCCAGTCGTGAATAAACGAAACTTTTCTCTTAACCTTCTCATTGTCTCATCTTCCTTTCATTATTTTTTTTGGGTTTGTTTTTCTGCCTCCGCATTTTCATATGCCTGTTGATTTATACCTTTTGCAGAATGCAGAACTAGTACTAGTAGTTGTTTACTACCGGGAAGAAATTAAGCTTCCACGTGATGATTGATTACCAATATATGCAACTTTTTAACTCCTTATGATTACTCGATGCTTCCCTCTGCATTCTACTACCAAGTTCAATCAATGACGTCTGAGGGAGGCAAAGCTGGTCTTTTCTGGGCATGATCCATGCAAGTATGGTTGAGAAGAAGACAGTTAAACTGTTTTCATTAGAACTCATTCGTTTTTGGAGTAATTCATTCTTCATCTTTAACTTCCTCTTCTTTTTTTACCATATCAAAAGAAGATTGTTCTTTGGTATTTTCCTGGATTCTTCTTACTCAAAAAAGTGTAGCAGGAGACAGGTAGCACGATGCAACAGAGAGATTTACACCGCGCTGTTTAATACTGACGAAATTGATTTATGCTTCGGGAAACTTGAACTCCCTCACTTTGGAAAGCAACTTTTCCAGAGAGAGTTCACCATTGAGAAGCAACTTAACTTTCGTTTATTTACCAAAAAAGAAAAAAAAAATTCAAGGAAATAAACCATACCAAGCAAGCATATGCGCAAGTAGTAATTACTACTGATAATAAGAATAATAATATGTGACAATCCGACTTAATTGAACAACGTGAGAACTAGTGGCTTTCAAGGTATATATAATGGTCGGATTGCATTTTTGAGTATTGATTTATGCTTCCGTTGACGCGTCCGTTGTGAGCCAACGAACGCAACGCCTCACTGAAGCAAAACCCCTAAAATGATTTTGAGGGTGAGAGATGCATGTAGAAGTGATTATCCAGGGAATAAAAATCAAACATACAAACTCTACAGAAATTTTTTTTAACAAAAACAAAAAAATAAATAAATAAAAAGGAAGTTGTCGTTCTGCAGTTTCCGATTTGCCGGAGCAAGAATCTGGCGGCCATCATAAATCCCAGGGGCTGCCGAGCGGCGGAAGGGTTCAGCTAGGCACTTGTGCGTAGTGGAGGGTTTCAAGTTTCAACTTTCAATTTATAAACGACGGGGCCTCCCATATATTTGCCACGGAGAGGATAATAAGATGCTTAAATTACACTTTCTTCCCCTGTATTTTGAGATCTTTGCTTTTCCTCTATTGATTTTTTGATTTTTTGAATACATATGAGAGAAAATCTCCTCCTCACTAAGTAAGTATAAATTAGAGTATGGTGGTATCTAAAAGGCAAACTAGCTAGTACATCTAATAGTACTAATGGCTTGAACGACATGTTTCCCTTTAATATGAAAGCATGATGTATTGCTATATTTCCATGCAAAATAATAAATGATTGTACGCATTCCTTATAAATGCACTATTGTAGCTTATTTATTCTTGTTTCATTTTCTAGCACTATATCATTGGCTTTCTTTCTAGAATTTTAGAGATCCAAATCTCAAGTTTAAAATTTTAATTTTTCATACAATTTGTTGTACCAAAAATAATTGAGCATAGACTCTCAATTCATAAATTATAGATTTCCCTTTGAGTTACATATTGTATGTTTAGCATGTCATTCATAATTCACCATACAAACCTTATGGTGAATAAAGATCTCAAATAAAGTTGCCACAAAAATTCTTAGTTTCTAATCATCTTTACCCCTTCTCCCCCCCCCCCAAATTTTGTTCTACTTCATGTCTTATACCTGCTAAATATCATATAATATGATTACTATAGAAATATTGAAATAGATGAATACACGCACAATCTCCATTATATTGTTACACAATATATTTGACATGATGTTACATAAAATTCCCCCTCGCTCGTACGTATTAGGGTGCACATTAAAATCTCCATTGTAATTTTATACAATATATTGAAGTTCCAAATTTCTTATGAATCCTACCAAAGGAAGAGGTTAATAAGTCAAAACTAAAGGGTAACAGAAGGAATATACTCAATGTCATGTTAAACTCAGCGAAATGTATCGTTCTATATTTGGCATAATTAGTCCAAAGGGCAAACAAGCCCCTATAGCTCAGTGGTAGAGCGTCAGTCTTGTAAACTGAAGGTCCGTAGTTCGATCCTGCGTGGGGGCACTCATCATTTTTGCCGCCTACATTCTTTTTTTTCAGTTCCCTTTCGGTAGCCCTCGAGTTTATCAGTTCACAAATCAACCTCTTTTGTCCCGCAGACCGCAATTTTTCATTATGGCCGGAGTCGTGAAGAAGCTGCTTCAGAAGCTACCAGATCAAAGAATCATCACATGTCTCAACCATCAAAAGCCGTTAACTCCTTTGTTTCCAACAACTATCCAGCGAACCTTACTCGACCCTCATTCTTTCGTACAAAATCCCAGTTCAAATTGTTCAACCGTGGAGAAATTTGCCCACAAAAATGACTTTCATATTTATCCCAGTTTTTCATTTGGGTATTTTTTGAATCCAATCTTCTCATCTGGGCTAAAGTTAGATCAGTCTCAATCACTTGAAGCAAAAAATTTGGACTTGGATGAGTCAAGACTCATGTGGGCTGACAGTGTCAAGAAGAAGAGAAAGAGGAAGATGAACAAGCATAAGTTGAGGAAACTTCGCAAACGCCTTCGAGGCCATTCATGAACAAGGTCCACTCGATAAAGATTCAATCTTTTTGTTTCCCCATTTTTATGATACAATTTCTCTACGTTTTATTTAAAAAAAATTGAGGGCATTATAGTCTAGGTATTACTGAATTTTGATCTTGGAATATGGTTTATTTTCTCTTAATAATATCGGTGGATTATAATTCTTGAAAGTTCTCTGGCTTCATTAGTTTTAGCAAAAATGTATACGTTTTAGGTGGTAGCATTTAATACCGGTGTTAGGGTTGTGTTTATCTGCCCTAGTAAGCACAACTGAATGATTTATGCTTGTAGTAAGCTCTTAAAAGAGAATATAGAACTAATTTAAACAGATAACGTGAAAAAATATGCTTGCTTTGCTATAGTTGAACTTGAATAAGTACCGAGAGCAGAATTAGGAACCTTTCTAGGTGAAGCTGTACTTAGATCAATTCCAGAAATGGTGGCAAATTATCATCTCCTACTGCTGTGCATTTTGTCTGGAATTATTTTTCCTTCCTTGCTTTTAGCTTTGTTGCTAGACTTCAGATAACAACACTAGTATCTCTTAACCATTAATTTTGATCGTATTTGTTTCACAGCCTAGTTGGAGCATTTAAGCCCTTAAGCTACTAAATGGCCACTTAGGTCTGTTATCCCGTGAGGTATTAAGGTGGAATATCAGATTCTATTATTGGTTACAGCAAATAGTTGTTTAAAATGACTCAGAATTCCCTTATGAGTAGGAAATCGAATATGAGCTCATTAGTTTGAGGTTTGGTGTTTGGAAAATTGTTGAAATTCTTTATCTAGAAATCTTATGGTCATAAATGCTTAACTTCCTTTTTTGCAATAAGGTAAAACGATTGAATTTGAAAACATCGGATACCAAATTTTATACCTATGACCTGTCTATGATACGGTATCTACGAACTATTGTTGCTTTCTCATGGATAAACTGTAAATCAGATTGACAAGATTCAGGTTAAATATATGTGGTGTTTAGTAATTTCTCTTTGGAGTCTCATCAGCGTCGTAATACTTTGAGGCTTTGGAGTTAATGTATTCCAAAGAGATGTGAAGGTTCTTATCAACTATGTATCATTGACTGCTACTGTCACTACTAACTCCATGTCTTATCTGCTAGACCATGGTCAGATGTACTTTAGCTAGTTTTAAAACCTTGTCTGCTCAGAACCAATATCCTGTAATCTTAATCTTGTAATTGCCACGAGTGAAGAAAGTCAGTAGTTCAATCTAAATAAAATTGAATTTCTTGCTAAGAGAAGAGGAAAAATGAAAAAGTTATGAGCATCGTTACAGCTCATGACTACTTACTGAAAAGAGGGTTACACGATTGATGAAATTTGACTTGTAAGTTTTGCACTCAGTGTTTGATTATCTTCTTTTGAACATTGAACTTCATTATTTAAATGTCTATGATTGAGTACAGAAAGAATTTTAATTCTAATTGCAGAAGTAAGATAAATCAGATTAATTAGAATTTTCAGCTGTTTCATAATTTTTGTGAGAATAGATTGAAGTCAAAACAATCCAGAAGTTATAAGCGTATAACTCTTTTAGTCATTCTTTTCTTTTGGAAGTGTGGGGATTTACTTGGTCGACTGGAATCAATGACAAATGAAGTTACAACATACCGTGCAGCACTCAAAAACTAATGGGTTTGCCTGCATATTAGTGGAATCCATCAGGTTTAACTTGTTTCTCTTCTTGTCTCCGCATTTAGTTGTAGATTATAGTTTTGATCTAATTGTCTTAGGTGATTTCTGACACCATGTAGAGGATATGCTTTTTTTTTTTGCATGTGCATCATCCACGGCGGTAATCATAAAGTGCCATTTCATGATGCTAGTTGACTACAATTACAAAGAAACAATGTTCAACACAATGAACTTGATAATAGGAAGCACACAAATGAAGAAGCATGTTATACATATCACATGGGGAAGACTTTCTTTTCACTTCTTTCTTTTTTAAAAAAATAAAAAAAATCTTCAAACAAATAGTGGCAAAAATGTATATACAGAACTGAGAGCAAGACAATTTGAAAGAAAAGATTAGAAGTTTCGTTGAGGGAAAGGAAATTTTTACAGGGATACTTACATGAATCCCATGTTTGATTTTTACTACAATTTTCTCTTGTACATTGCGGACATGCACTTTAAGTGAAAATTTTGTGGACTTGCAAACAAGTTCATGTTTATTAATTGAACTTTGACCAGTATTTTCTGTCTGTTGAGTTGAAGAAATATTTAGATCACTTGATTTTTTTTCTTTCCGCTGGGCAGCCTTTGTCTATTTCAAGAACTTGGGAAGGATACATTAAACTCGTATATGAATATTCTGAACCTTGTCAGTTACACCGGACAGTTGAATATGCATTTGTTAGCCGGAAAGGAGGGAAACTGCTATGTGCTTCTGTAAATGAAATACTGGGGGACTATTTTGGAATTGGTGCCACATTGTTGACATGTGATGCTAGGCAGTGGCATAAATTTTTGTTGGTTCATATTTTTCGACTATGTGATACTTTGTTGTCTTACCAAAATAGCATGCAACCCTATTGCAGTATTTTATATACTAGGCATTATTGCAAAGTGGGCATTGTAGAGGACTTACTTCAGCTCAGATTCGTCGGAGTTAGGTACTTAGCCTGAGTTCCTTTTTAATTCAGATTCTTGTTGAGCAAGATTATTCAACAGACAAGAACAAATATTCTGCCGTTATTGAGATGGGTAAGAATGAATGGTGTACCATTTGATTATGTCGCGTCTGATTGACTCGAACCTCCACCCCTCCCGGTTCAGGATGACACAACACCCTTACTGGTTTTTTCCTCATTTTAGTCCTGTTTCTAGATCAATTAGCTGAACAGTCATAGCAACTTAAAAGAACCCTGGGACCAAAAAAAGGATTACGAGTATAACATAAAAAGCTAGATAGCATTCTCTTCTTTCTTTCATATTTCTCTCTCTCTCTCTCTCTCTCTCTTTCTGGTGAATGCTTTTTCTTCATAAATATCTTCTGGCCTAACCGTGCTTCCTTATCCAGGTGGCTGCTTTCAGAATTGGGATGAGGAGCCTCAGACGAGTAGTGAAGTAAGTGCTTCTCCCCTCCCCCTCCCCCTCCCCCTCCCCCACAAGAGTATAGTCTTAGCAATTAGAAACTTTTAAAAGGCTTGTGCACTTTTGTGGCTGTTATGATTGTCCTCTTGTTCCCAGTCAAGAAAACAATTCTAGGCAGCAAGTTGTGCAAGAGCAAGTTGGCAACTTGGAAGCGTGCAGCTGCAAAACAAAGCAATTTTTTTTTTTTTAAGGGGCTGAAACTTTTTTTTTTTTTTTGAATCTTGATTTGGCATGCATGATCAATAATTTTTTTTTTTTTTTTTTGTCAGCAACAATACATCCATTGGATGCACTATTTTTTTTATATATTACTATAATGTTACCATCATATGTTTGGGGCACTGCCCTGCCCTGCCCATCACTCAAATTTAGTATTGCCACGTAAATTAGTGTATGAAATTGTTGCAAAACTCAGGGTCTGGTAATCATGCAGAATTTTCTACATCAACTTGCGACAGGGCATCAACGATTTTTCTTGATGATCCATTTTAAAACAAGAGTGAGGTCAGGTGGATGTTTGAATTTTTCGACGCATCTTGCGAGCGTCCAACAACTCCCTCTGAAAAATATTCAGAAATTCTTCTGCGTCACCCTTCACGCTCCAAACCACCTCGAGGCTCGAGTAATTCACCATCACTATTAATGATAATATAATATTTCTGCTTCGATTTCCCGCATTTTGCAACTTGCCAAGTTGCATATTATTATCCAAAACGGATAACTTTTCTTCTCCTCTCCACCCACACAACAGAACACCCTCTCCTTCTTTTATAATTCAAAAGAAGAAAAAAAATCTTGTTTACTTTTCTTTTTGCCGTCAGAAGAAGAAGAGCTTTATCTGAAGTGCTTGTTGTATAGCAAATCTGAGATCTCGCCGTACCATACCATACCGACCTTCTTCCGTTGCAATGTGTAAGTACGTTAACACAGACAAAAATCAAGTAGTCATTTGATTGGCAAAAAAGAAGCAGGCGAAGTTAGTTGTGAGGCTTATAAATGTTATCAAAGTGCAATAAAGCAATCAGCTTTTCATTTCTTTACATGCCAAATGGATGGATATGGATCAAATCAAGTGTGTACTTCTCAATATGAAGATATAGCCATATTGGCTCAAAAAGTTCAAAGCTCTCGTCGTTTCTCATCCAAGCATTTGGATTTTCTTTTTCACCCAAAAAAAAAAAAAAAGCATTTGGATTTCGGACCTGCAGTTTTCTTTGGTGATCTGTACGGCACTTTGCAAATCGCTGTACACCACAAACACACCCGAGAGATTTTGTTGTTTTTTTGGGCAGGTTCATTGCTGCTTAAATGGGAAGGCGGCGTGGGAATTTTTGGGGAACTATTTGTCTCAACGCCTTTAGCACTACCTTTAGAGATACACTACCAACACTCGATCGTGAAGGTTTTTGGGAAAATTTTCTTCTACTAATCCTTAATCGTCGCACGTTACTAAAATTGTTGTCTGAGCAATGCAATAATAGTTTATATATATATTTTGTCGACACAGGAATGTCCGGATCAATTTTTACATGGTCCAACTAATCCCCTGCGATCCGGACTCGGTACCCCAACCCGGTCCGAACACGTTATATGCGCGGAGGAATTCAGCGGAGCGAAACTAATTAACATCATACTAAACCAAAGCGTTATGATGACCGTAGATTTGGTTCTTGATTTTAGCATAATCATTAGCTAACTACTTAATCTAATACCGTTGATTAGTTGGAGCTGCACTTTGATCGGCCATGCATCCATCCCATCCCAGGTTTTTTTACTACAATTTGTCATCTTTCTCATTTAAGTACTCGGAACTAGTTTTTATCGCTTCAAGCTGTCTCATGCAACCGAACCGCAGGAGGCCGGCTGGCGAGTTGTTCCACCTTCCAATTCAACATTATTGTTGTTTGAAAGTTTTATCATTATTATATAGTATGAATGTGTGTGTGTGTAGTTTGAAAGTTTTTATCAACATTGATTGTTGTTGTTGTTTGTGAATTTCCATGACCAATACAATAGGGTGGGTCTGAGCGAGAAGTATTGAGATAATAATATTTTTGCTTGACTGCTTAGTAGCTAGATAAACAAAAAATGCAAGTGAGTAGCTAGCTAGTAATAATTTTTAAGTTCATTCATGGCATGCATTAATGGATATCAGCAGTACGTACGTTGGTTTTAGATACTGCATGATGAAGAAGAGAGTTAGCATTGAAGTCGAGTCAGAATTGTTGCAGATCGTACGTTGGAATTTCACTGCAAAAGAATAATAATAATCCGCCCGGATGGAGTTGCTGGATAGACACCGCGCGTCATGATCTTCTGTCATAAAATTGCTGGAAGATTAATGCTGGTTTTGCCTTAATGTTCCATTATTTAAGTTCCTTGTTTCTGATTAATTAAGTGAATAGACTACTTGATCCACGTTGGAAGGAGGACATGGGGATGGGAGTCTTAACACTACTCGAGGAAATCATAACCTTCCAAACCTTAATCTCACCGTCAAAACTTCCACTGAACACCTTAACGGCACCACCAGAATCCTCCTCCGCCACCGCCACCAGCGACCTCACCGGCTTAGCATGTCCGTCCAAGACCGTCAAACAACAGTACCGTCCATCATGGCCCCGATGCCAAATCCTCACCGTCCTATCAGCCGACCCGCTCAACAACAAATCGCACACGTTAATCAAACACAATATAGCCTTCGAATGGCCCCTCAACGCTCCCGTCACCACCATATGATTAGCACTCTCCTCCCTCTCCCACACCAATATCGACCGGTCACAGGCTCCGGAAAACAAAACCGAGCCATCAAAGTTCAATGCCAATGCATTAACGGCTGATTTATGCTTCTCAAGAGTAGCCACTAAAACGTGTTTCTTCTCACCGAATGCTCTTCCCCAGACTCTGATCCGCTTATCAGCCGAGCCCGTGTAAATGAGACCGCCTGGTGATGCTGCTACCGCGTTAATCGCATCATCATGGGCTTTGATTGATTCTGTGCATCGAAAATCCTTGGCCCGCCAAATCTTTAGATATTTATCCCACGAGACCGAGTGTAACAAATTTTCTGCCGCGGCTAGACTTGATACTGCATCATAATGTTCGACCCATAGTTTCTTCCTGTGACGTCGAACTTTGACGTAGTTTTTGGGTAATATGAAGTTTCTCAACCGATCCTCGACCGTGGGAAGTGTGGCGATGAGCTTATGTTGTCCAACCGAGGATGACGTTAATTTCCAAACTCGGATTCTGCAATCTTGGTGAGCCGTGAAAATCTTTCCGTCACAAAAGGCTAAGGATTTGATGGAGCCGGATGAGGAGGAATCATTATTGACGTGGAAGGAATCGAAAAGCGTGAAGTTAGTGGTGTTGAAAACGTTGACTTGGCCGCCTGAGACGGCGTAGAGGAGATTATTGTTTAGTGCGAGGAAGTTGACGTGGGCGGGTTGTTGGGGTTTAAGGGAGGTGATGCAAAGGGTTGTGATGGAGAGGTTTAAGGCTTCGGGGGAGAGTTTTTGGAGAGAGGGGACGGATGGGAGAGTTGAGATGGAGAGGTTGCTTTCGAGGCTGGTATGACTCCGAGTAGTATAGGTGGAATCTTGAGAAGTTAAGGATGATGCACTACTACTTGCTTGAGCGTCTGAGCAGCTGCTTGAATCAGAAATGACAAGTTGGTTTGGCGTCGGTGGAGGGACGATGGCGTCTTTGGCGGTGGAGATGCAGGTTGAGGAGGAGCATGTTGACCTTAGCCATGATCTCACCTTCATTGCAGAGAGAGGCCTAGAGATGTTACAAGAGAATACAGGAAAAGGTTTGTTTTTAAAATTTTTTTTCTTTTGGTTTTTGTTCAAATAGAGACTTCAAGTGTGCGGGAGGAACAAGGAGGAAGGTGGTGGTGGATTTTTTTTTTTTTGGAGTGGGGGTGGATGGGGAGGGGAGAAAGGGAAGAGGAGGGTGTTTTCTTTGGATCCTGAATGGAATAGTTGGTGTATGCAGGCGTCTATATATGCATATTTTGAGTTTAGGTAGCCAATGCAAGTATTATAATTTTATGATGCATGGTCAAATAGACAAAGAAAAAGGGAAGGGCACCAATCAATCAATTTGATTAGAGAGGAAAAGAAAACGGAGTGAGGTGATTCGTGATTGTGAAACGTTAATATTTCAATACTTTTGTGTGTAACAAAGAAAATGAGAATCTGCTATTTCTATGTAAATTTGAGAAGAGTTTTTAGTATGAAGGTCTCCAAATTCACCATTCTTTTTTGTAAATTTTTAATTTATTTAAATTCACAAAATCTATTTATTCCATTCAAAAGCATTTGATTTCAAAATTTTTTAAAAACATTTCATTTCAAATTTTTAATTACTTCAAAAGCTTCCACAGTATAGCACACCAAATTTTGTAGACCTCAACATTTTCAGCGGATTGGCATTGCATGTTTTGGTTTTACAATTTGAATTCACCACAACTTTCCTATGCACTTTGCCTATTGACAATGGTAAAGAAATTAGGATAACTGAATCTTTATAAGATGCAAAGGCATTTTTATTTTTAATATACTATAAGATTACTCCAAATTTATTATGCACAATTCGATAAAACTGAATCTATTCTCAAACATGATTTTTTTTTTTATTCTTTAATTGTACTTAAACGAAACGTGAATAGTGACAAAGTTGAAACATGAGACCATAGGGTTAAGAAAGGGCAAATTGTGGTCGAGGCGAAATTTTAATTAAGGATAGTAGGAAGACTAGTAGAATAAGGAAAGAATAGTAGAATAAGAGATGAATAGGTTACAGGGATATATGGGAGAGAAGACTACTATTATTAGTCTGTCAAGAACAAGAAACGTAGGACCCACGAGAAGGAAAGGGTTACCATAATTGTACCAGTGGCGAGGTAAAAAACTTGATTGGAGTCTTCCGTATTCCCCCTCCCGAGTTCCACGTCATTTGTTGACCGTAGGGATGTAATCGATCCAAGTTAAACTCGAGTATTGCTATACTCGAGCTCGACTCAACTCATATATACTTAGGCTCGAGCTTGATCGAGTACAAAAAATCGATACTCGAAACTTGACTCGAGAAACTCGTTTAAAACTCAAGATTCGACTCGATAAGGCTCGACCTTTAGTCAAACTTTATCAAATCGACTCTAATCAAGTTTTTTGACTCGACTCGAATGTAAATTCCGTAAAACTTATACCCATAATGGTCATTTTATAATTATAATACATATATATTATTTAAATTATAAATATATTATTTAAATGCCCCCGGTTCGACGAGTAGTTCGACAAGTCTCGAGCCTCAAAATATTGGCTCGAAACTCGACTCGAATGACAATCGAGTAGCTCGAGACTCGGCTCGAACTCGGTCAACCCGAGTTCAAGCCAAGCCGTTGACTGAGCTACTCGCGAGCTATTCGATTACGACTCGATTCGCGTACATCCCTAGTTGAGTGTGCCTGTGTCTAGTACTTAAGTTCCATAGGGGATGCTAAAATCCCTAGTTGAGTGTGCCTGTGTCTAGTACTTAAGTTCCATAGGGGATGCTAAAAGCCGCAATTGCTTTTTGGTATTCCTGTGGGGTTAATTTAGGTGCTTTATGCATATATATCTTGTCCAAAGGACAAAGGAAGGATGGTGGAGGAGTAGGGATGGCAACGGGGCGGGGGTCGCTTCCCCCGCGGGTTTATAAAACTTTTCTTGCGGGGTTAATAAAATTTTATTATAGTTAAATTTTAATAAATAATCAAATACTAAAATATCAACACATCATCAAGTTATTATTCATTGTAATTTTATAATTGAAACTCATAAAAACAATCAAATAAAAGTTATTTGAATACAATCCAACATGATGAAATAAATACAAATAAAATAGTTAAGTTTTCACTTT